ATCGCGCATAAATTCGCCCTCCTTCCCACCTACCCGAGGGGAAGATGTAACTTTTCGACCAACTTCGTTACGACTGGCTTCCTACAAATGAAATTTTCAATTTGGGGGTAGCTGACACGACGTCGCGACTTCTATTGGACGTTGCGATCATGTTGGATCGACTTTTCATCCATTTTCTTGCTGATTCGTCTTCATCGCGATCTACTCGATAAAATCTAAACAATTTCATCTAACACGGATCACCTGTTCCCCGTGGTATAATATTTCAAACGAAATTCTAGAAGTGGAACAATTTTCGTCAGTGCGCTCTTCTAGGGGATGCAACGCGAGGCTCCATTACTCGACGCAGCCCTCTCAACGGCATTTCGGTCTGGGAGAACGGGTCCGTTGGAAGTTCGACGAAAGATCGAGTGGCCGAAACACGGGCAAACGAACGACCGCCGATCCATTCGCATCAGCTGCTCTCTTCTCGAAGAGTGCATCAACAGAGTGCAAGCCGTCGTTGCGGCAAAGTAAACGTCGGGTCTGCGGAACGCGAAAGGGTGAGTCAAGGATAGGGGCGACGAGAGCGATGGAACGACGATTCGAAATTCGACGCTGGAATACTCTTGCGTTCCGAGGTGAATTTTTTAATTTTTCTTCAAAATTGTCGAGTAATCAAAAAATAGTGCACTGGACGAGAGGCTGGATTCTTTGCATTAAATAATTGAAAGAAGAGTTCCTTGCAAGAGTAGTCTAGCTTTGATACGAAATACGATACAGCGGTAGCGGAGATGTTAAAGGAGATTCAAAGAATGAACATTTTCCATTCTAAATACAGTTTTCTAATGGCAGAATTCGATAGATTAACGAATTTTCTATACTCTAAGGGTATATTATAAGATTCTAGAATACCCTGTGTAGCATCGTTCTTCAGTATGTCTCCGTCTCCACTGTTTAAATGTTTGCAAATCGCGAGTTCCCCCAGGAATCGTCGAGTCTCGAGCTGGAACGGGAGATCTCACGCGGAAAGAATTACGCCACGTCGGGGATCGTCGGTGGAAGCGATTAATAGAAGAAAAATTTCGGTTCGTTCGTCGGCTCTGTCGACGGCGAGATCGATTCGGAATCTGATTACAGGGAACTGTTCGTCATGGTTAAATTACTGACTGGGAATTGAGACGACGAGGGAGAGGGAAACGAGACGTTGGATTATTTACATTTCTACGCGTTCTTCGAGCATCGATGCATCGATCCAATAGATACAATACCGGGCGAAAGTACCCACGTCGATTACTAATATCGCCTCGATGAATTTGCTTCCATTGGTAATCGTTCCGCAGATACCGGAACTGATGCGCGCGCTGGATGGATGTAAATACACTTCATTTGTACCAGTCGTTGCGAGCGAATTTATCGGACCGTTTCCTATTCTAATTTTTGAAATTTCAGACTATTCAGTACGTACAAAGCGAACCAATCAGGGCTGACAAAATACGGAGGAATACGTAGTTTGTTGTGCGTAATCGAATGAAATTAAACATGACAAATAATCGACGGTTAAAGAAAACGTACAAACAATAAAGAACCTTGCCGAGCGCGTGTACGTAGTTTATCAACGGGTTAAACTTTAACGTATCCTGCGTATATTTCATTTCTTGTTAAACGAGTCTAACAATCACGATACACAATACTCCAGTTACGCTAGCATCGCAGGAATTTAATAATCAATATTAATTCGCAACATAAAATAACGAGAGAAGTCGAATCGCGGTCCGGTTGGATTACAGCCTGTCTATACAAAATTTTAACGAGACTGTTGAAAATTAAGTTACATTATTCCGTTACCGAGAGGATCCAAAAATTGTGCTCGAAAACATTCGTATAAATTCGTTCGTCGTATCAAACGATCACCAAATTTCCGCCACGACTCGTCCATGTGAAAATGTATCGGTTACCATGTTTTATGGATTTAGAAAAACAAAAAAAAAAAAAAAGGGAACAAAAAATGGAAAAAAAATGAGCGAGAGACAACCGATGTATCATTGTATCAACATTCACGCGGGCGTAACGTTTCCAGAAGAAGCGGGTAACGCGCATCGCGTTTTTATTATTTTCACGCATACGCGTAGCTTCCCCGGCGTCTGTTCCCACCGTTTACGTTTCCCCGATGCAAATAGAATGTTTATATCTCCCGGTTGCCGCGCTATGCGCTGATAACCGTTTTAGCTGAATCGTATTACGATGCCGGGTGTATATTCTTTTTTTTTTTCACCGGTAGTCGCGGGAATCGTATGTCGATCGAGGGAATCGATTCGTCGACCATCAGTCACCGTTCCTCGTTGCCAGTGTTTCGTGAAAAACGATTCGAAATTGCTGGACGATGCAGCCGAGCTCGAATTGTCGATAAGGTCGAAAAGCAGGACGTCAGGACGCGGCGTTTTGAGGGAGATTGATGAGGGCTCGCGGTTACCGCCGTGTGTACAGAGTTAAATTGCTCCACCGTGTGTGTGTGTGTGGGGGGGGGGGGGTAGTTTCGGGGGTTAGCGCAGAGGGGGTTTGAGGTCTGTTCGGTGCACACGCAGCTTTCCTGTCCCGGCTGTCGTTAACACCGATTTATTTGTTGCTCGATGTTCTTTCGCGGTCTTTCCGGGGTCAAACGACCGTGCTGCCACCGGTAACTACGTCGTAACCGAGCCCGGGAGTAAATAACGCTAGGTTTACGCGATACCGATATCATTTGTAACAATTTCGCTGCGACGTTCGCCGTTCCCGCGACACCGATGAGGATTCACTACTTTCCATTTGCTTCTGTCGTCCTTTCGTCCCCGCCAGTAAAGTCAAGCGTTGATACAAAGATCCGCGTGAAAAGTATGAGGGGTTAATATGGAAATATCGAAACCCTTGAATTTCTAAGTATAGGAGCTAACGATAATTTATTAATTGAATTTATTTGAAATCACGTAACACTCGTTCCCCGATGCCATTAGTAACAATTTCGCTTGACCGATTACTGTTTCCGCGACACCGATGAGAACTCGCAACATCGCTCTGTTACTCTGCGAATCAATCTGTTTCTATTAAGAGCTAAAATTCCAGCTGCGCGTGATTTCATGTTTCGTGGATACTGGTATCGATATTCGGTAGTTTACGGACGATCCAAAGCCCTGAAACCTTTAGCTAAATTACAAATGTACGCTACGACTACGAATTTAACCCTATAAGGGAACATCGTATGTCTAACGAATTTTGTTTGTAAGATTCCTGTGATTCCTGTTCGCGAATTCTGCAACGAGATGGCGCAAAAGTGCAAAGAATTGAACCTATGTACTAATTTTTCATTCGAGAAACCTTTCCCCACGTCTGGCGTTCCTCAAGCATAATCCCGCGCGTTTCGTCGTCCCGTCAGCGGCGAAGAGTTAAATCGTTCTGCGCATTCGAAAACAGGAAACGAATGCTGATTAAAACGTTCACCGTGCGCGGTGCATTCAGCGTTGCTGGATGCACGGAAGGCGCTTCGTTGCGCGAACAACGAGAAAAGAATCTACAGAAGCGCGCCGTTGAAAGGACCATCTTTTTTCCACCGTTCCGTCTGTTCTTTTGGCGAGCAAAAGCCACGGCAGCAGCGATTTTAATCTCACTCTCCGCCTTAGCTCGTCCCGTTGCGCCCTTCGATCCAAACAAATTCGGTGTGCGCGCTGGCGAAAAAGAACCCGGCCGATCGAACTTTCGGAGATATCTCGAAATTACTCGCACTTAGCTTTTTCCCGGGGAAAATTGTTTTCAGCGCGGGAATCTCGTTAAAAAAGTTCGAGGAACGCTGCACAGCGAGAAAGTTCCGAGTATGATCGGTGGAAATCCCCCTCCAGCGATCGTTCTTAAGTATTAATCCCTTCGCTAATCCGTATCAGCATCAAGCGCCCGGAGATAATAACGTAACCCTTCATTTATAGCCGGTGGTAGATCGTTGGCCCAAAAACTGTAGTATGGAAATCTGGGACCTTCTTTATCGCTACAAAAAAAAAAAAAAAAAAATCACTCTAGGATTCCAGGACGAAACACTTGGCGCGTAACAGGCAAGAAAATTCCAACACGCCGCGAAGGAGTAAAAGAGGCGTCTGATGCGAGAATCTCGTTAAAAAAGTTAAAGGAACGCGGGAACGGAGAAGTTTCGAGCACGATCAGTGGGAATCCCGTTCCCGTCGAGCCAGCGATCATTCTTAGGTATTAATCCCTTCGCTAATCCATATTAGCATCAAGCTCCCGCCAGAACGTTATAGAACGGGCTTGTAACGAAGGTCTGCCCTTCTTCGTAAATCGGAAATCTCGTTTATGCGAGAATCCTTCAGGCGCGATCGACGTAACTCGATATCGTTTGTTAAACTAGTTCCCAAAATTAATTTCCCTCGATCCGAATCCCATCCCTGTGGTCAGCGTTAAAATATCAAGTCCAGGGAAAAATATTTGCTTTCGATATCGGCCGTGGACACGCCGGACACGCTCGAGCGATTACCGACTACACGACCGAGCGGAAGCTCGAGGTATTCGAGGTTCTAACCACCTGACGGAGGTAGCTGGCGCGTTATATTTTCACGAGGTCCAAGACGAAATAGAATTTGGGGAAGATGAGAAGGTATTTTTAACGCTACAACAACGAGGTCGACGTATACCTATTCTATGCCTTTCATGGGAAATCGAATTGTCGGTATAATTAGTTTACTATTTCAATAAACGTCATAATAAGTAGCGCCAAAAGCGGTGTTCGAATGAATTGGTTTGGAAAAATGTTGTAAATCATTTCCATACTAAAGAAAGTTCTCAAAAGTCCTACCACGAATAATTGCTCATTATCCTTAAAGAAATCTCTATCTTAGAGACTATTCTTGTCTCGTTTCGTCCTATTCGAAATATCCTTCGTCCGTGTCCTAACCATATACCAGCGACGAAGTCTCGAAGTTCCTGTGGCGCGTCGTTCAAAGTAACTTATAATATTATAAAACAGAATGAAAGGGTGTACTCACATCGCACGTCGAATCTCACTTCCGTGCTGGAGGACATGGTCGGGTTGGCGTACGCAGGATGAATGGCAACACACCTAATCGGCTGCCCGTAACGTGACCGTTCCGCCATAATCTCGCAGACGCTGTAGGTCGCCCAAGTGCGGGGATTATCTATCTCCGTCGAGTTTACCTGAGGCCTCAGAGTCCTCACTTCGGTCTCGCCCACGTACCTGCGCGCATTTCCCCCGAATATTTGCATTTCCAATGGCCGTTCTGTAACAACTCTGCGCGGAATGAAATCCCACGGACACCGACCCCTTGCTCGCTCTCGCCGCGACCTTCTTCTTCGACTCGCCCCCACTCTGCCTCTTGGTTTATGTACCTGTTTATCGCGCTAAGCTTATCCTTCTTGGTTTCATGTTTACTTATATGTCGAATTCGTTACACAGTCAGTTTCATAAACATTCGTACCCAGAAGTTTGTCTAAATCAAATAACATGTTTGACATTTCCAAATAAATGTTTCATCATAAATATTGTTGAGGTATTTCAGTTAAATACTCAATTAGTAACATTATTTATATACAGGCCCAACGTCAATTTGTTTATTATAAAATGGTCAATAATATACACACACACACACACTAATCGCGGCGATACAACAAAGATAATAATGTTACAAATGGCGAAATAACAATTGTATGATTCACACGTGCTCACTCTCAAAGGTCTCTCGAAGGAAGTAAGAGACAGGCGTAAGAGCACATGTTATCAGGCAAAAAAAAGAAATTACGTACATACGCTCGATCTGCTAAATTTAGCGCGTACCTCTTTCGCACTCATACTATTGTTTTCGTGTGCGGAAGGCGGGCTACTTGAACAGTTTACTTCAACAAATATGTACATGGATATATTTTGCACTTCTATATTTATACATCATGAAAAATTTATTTGCTGGCATCAAACCTATCATTCCTGAAATAAACACAGAGAGTACGAATATTTATAGGACCGACTGTATATTCAATTCTTCTTTTCTTGCATATTTTCGTATTGCGTAAACAAACTTGGTCTTCAGGAACCGCGCTCAGAACTTTCTATTTTTCCCGTTCTCTCCCTCTTTCTTGTACTTTTACTTACTCCGCCGAATTCTTTCTTCCATTCTCTACATTCTATCTTAAGGTATACGCGGTATAATACATGGTCCAGAGCCAACTTTTCAATTACCAAGTAGTAGGATCGTATTATGCTTAGAATCTCCCGGAATATCTTAGTCTCCAGCGGATCCCGACACGAACAGCCAACGTATTAGCACACTCTGCAGGGGTAAACGCGATTTCGCGCGAGGGGCTGCACAGACACGCGTCGTAACTCCGGTCTAGCAATAATCAAATCGCTTATGCGTATCCATACGCTCGGCAATGTCAATTAGGCTAATTCTCTAACGCGCAAAGAGAGAGAGAGAGAGAGAGAGAGAGAGAGAGAGAGAGAGAGACACGGATAGCAGGGAGCTCGTCTGGAATTCTCAGACTGCCATGGCACGCGTCCCGTCGCTCAAACTTTCCGCTCAATGTCAAAGTTTCCCCACCGATCCGGGGGCCTCGGCATCGCTCCTGATTCGCCTATAAATTAATTAACGTTTCTCGCGTAGCTTATCGTCATCCCCCTAGCCGTTATCTCGCCGTTTCGTTCCGTCGCCGGGGCTTTCTGTTATTTCTACGCCTCGGGGGCGCAAGCAAACCCTGTAGCCCCTTAACTTCGTCTAGATACCTAGCAGGAATGGATCATGATTATTCATGGGCAACCGGAGAGCCGACGCTACCATCGGCAAGATCCACAAGGTGCATTACAGGGGCCAGGATGTTCGCGCAGGGAAAACTAACTGGCGCGCTTCGAACAAACGACAGGGTATGTATGTATTGGCAATCCTGATGACGCAGACTCGCTGGATTCGGGATGGCACTTTTCGAATAATAGCCCACGGGAACGCAAGATTCCCCACCCTCTCTCTTTTCGCCCCGTTCGTTAAATCTGCAGTTACGATTCATAAAGCCCTCTACTGAATTGAATTTAAAAATTAGATTCGATTCGTGTACCTCGCGTGTACCTTGGTCTGGTTTGGAGGAGAACTTTTGTCTTTGGGGCAATCACCGGGTAAATAATTCATTAGCGTTACACTGGCGACGTTGGCCATGTCTCAGTTCCGTTTCTCGGAGAATACCTCGAGTATACCCTTAATCCAAAAAGGAATACGATGTGACGCGTTTTCGAATAAGTTACACACAATGTATACACTGAGAAGCTTGAATTAAAATTATAATTCGTATCGAAATTCTGATGATCGAAACAATTTCAACGCGATCCTTAATGATATTTGTCAAAAAACGTTTGTTTAATTAAAGCTTTTCAACGTCGATGAATGTATACGCATGTTTGTGGAAGTATTCACCTAGTCCCGTAGTTCGATACCCAAGCAACCTCGAAGTAATTACAGTGGTAATCGTTCGATTACCGGGGAAGCGCCCGTCTCTCTCATCGAAAGGGCGCGAAAGACACGGCTGGAATTAAGTTGTCCAAAGTCCGCGAAACGAAATCAACTCGGGAGTGGCGCCGAGCTTAATCGAATCAATCCCGAAAAGGAGCGCAGTTTCTCTGCAACGATTGAGCGCCGCGGAGAGATAGAGAGCGGGAGCAATCTAGACGCATTCAAACGTTTCCTTAAAAAACCCAACGCTGTTACTCAAATCCTTCCTCGTGCAAAGACTACTCGGTCTCAATTCCGCAGACGGCTTTCCGCGCTGCTTTTCATCTCTCGACTGATTATCAAGAAGCTGAGGTTCGAAGTAAAAACAAGGGGCAGTGGACGCCATCCAAGCATTTTTTTTTTTATAAAAATTACTACTTCCTTCGCATTTCATCGAGGTTATTGTATCGGAGGTCTAAATTTTTGAAGAAAAATATTCGTTAATACACGGGTTTAAAATTGAGTTCGAGATCAATGTGTAACTCTTACTACTTTTGTTTGATGAATTACCTAGGACTTATAATAATTTCTGTACGTGGTATATAGCTCGTTTAACGACTGCCTTACTGCTTTTTCTATGCATTGAATTACCTACTATTGACGTCCACTCCCGGTGCATTTACCGTGAATCAGCTTTGGCAAACGGTACAGAGGATCGCTTCGATGGAAGTAATCGGCAGTGGACTGAAAGCTGTTGCACGAGGAAGAGGGGAAAAAGGTCACGGCGAGAGGGGTCACCGATGAACGGTAAGTAGTAGAGAATCTACGGTGCAACGATTACGAACCATTTAATTAGAGGCGAAGGATTCCCATACCGCGCTCTGCAAGTGAGCGTAGCGATCTCACCTGCTCGGGCTGTCACGTTGCTGCCGGGTAGAAGTAGACGATCCGCGTACTCTATCTGCGGTCGTTGAGGGCTGACTGAAACCAGAAAATTAACACAGGTTAATTTGTCCGATTTTGTGGCCGAATATCCGGCTACGCGTCGCGTTTGTCCGAACATTGTTCGGTTTGATTACGGGCCATTCCCCTCTAAACTAAATCGATCAGTCTTCTTCCCACACTTTGGGATTTTTTATGACGCGATCATATGTCGTAATATATATATATATAAAATTAGCGGGAGTTTAAGTCCCCTTAATTATTAGCCGCGACGCCTAGTCACTCTTAAATTATACCGTATTTTTTGCAATAATATTTACGTTTATCTTATAGAAATTTGTGCATTTAAAGAGATTTTACTGTAGTAACAAAGAAATGTTTCCTTACAATTGGCTCTTAGTGCGTTATAAATCAATAAAGGGGTTTCCTGAGAAGAAAAAAGATGTCTTGTCGCGGAATATCATTGAGTACGATGCATCAAGTGGCAGCTCCTGTCACTTGATTTTCAATCTCTCCGACTCAACAATAGAATTAATAAAGGTACGGACTCCAACTCAATTGTTTTAATCGAGGATGAGTCTCTCCGAATAAATTTCACTTGGTTTTCGAGAAAATTAATTTCGAAAGCTAGAGGTGTACGCGCGTGCAGAGTGCGACCTGGTCGACGCGTTCGTCCATTAGCGGTTATTTCTACGTGTAGCCGTGTCTGTAAACATTGATAGTGGCACGGGTATTTGTTTTAACTAGTTCGAACTAGATGGAAAATAATAACATAGACGGAAAACAGCTACTATTGTAGCACCGTCGATGTTTGCGAACACCAACGCAAGTAGAAACAATGAGTAATGGTCAGACGCGTTAACTAACTCACGTGTCCGACAGCGCGCGTACTCATTCAATTTCCAAAATCGATTTTCTCCGATCGAGACCCAGCGTAAAATAAATAACACTTTCGTATTTTCGGTTCATTTTCCGCGTAGGAATTATCGCGTTTAATACGTAACAACTTGGTCCGGGCGATTATCGAGGAAAAGTCCCAACGTGCTTTTATCGAAAGAATGGCTTGTATACTATGAATAAAGCGTGGAAACCGGCTCGCACAATTTTTATTCGCATTTTGGCACTTCGGACGAATGCAACGACTGGTCGAACGTAACAATTGAAAAGTAAAAGGCTAGAGGCAATAATTATTTTAATTATTGTGACACTATTTTCTGTCCTCGTAATATTGCATTCTAAATTGTTCCTCGGAAAGACGAGTAGAAATAAAAGTATGCTCGCGCATGACTTGTGCTCGAGTCTCGCTTCTTTATTTATCGTACAGCTTCGATTGTTTTTATTCGTCGTATCGATTCGCGTTTTCGCCAGTTCACGCCGGTAATACGACTGTCCTGACCGCGATGTCCGGTCCCCAGACGAACTAGTACATTAATCTTGGCACAATGGGAATAATACCGATGAAAAGCGACGAGCACGGCTTTGACGGGTGTGCAATTTACCTGGCTGACAGTGCGCGCGAGTCATGCACGAATTATCGGCATTTAAACGAATGTCTACATTATTATAATTGCAGATTAACAGGTTTTGTTCCGAAAAATGACCCACACCAGGGTTCGAAGCGTCGATACATGAAATACACGCGGTGCAACCACTTTAGACTTAAAAACATGGAAAAATGTTTTCGAACATGTGTCTATATTTTTATTTAAATATCTATGTTATCCAGCCCGTTACGAAAAAAGTAGAAAACTTTATTGATGAAAGTGGTCTCTAAGGAGTCCTAGCTAAGACTGAATTTGGCCTTTTCTCGGTTCCTTTTAAATATTGGTTCGTACATACACTCATACGTACGGACATACATACACAAGAACTGGTGCTCGGTGTCACGTGTTCGGTAGCGGCCACCGATCACCGAAAAGCGGTGGCGATTAAATTCCCTACAAGTACTATATACTCGACAAATATTCGGTAACACTTCTTAGTCAGATATTCTTCGTTGGTTTCAAGGATTATCATCAAGAATTCGACTAACGAGTAATAGTAAAATTCGATCGAGTTAACCTTACCTCTGACAACCAGCCTCGCTGGTTCGGATGCCAACGCGTCCTGCGTTGTGAAGTCACTGGCTGTGACCTGACACTGCCAAAGTCCGTCGTCGAACTCCAGGGTGGCGGATCTGACCCACAGCGAACAGTCGCCAATGTCCGGGGATCCCACCCACTCGTATTTCTTCAAGTGCATCCCGATTGGCTGAAACAATTGAAGAGGGGTTCGTTCAGTTCTCGTTACACGCATTGCCAATCACTCGACGACCCTGCGAAATTCCCTTTGCTTTAACCCACTTTACCTTCCGCTCGTTTAGCCAACTCTCGTTACAATTCCACCCCTATTCTGTCCCTACCCCTTCGTTCTCTGTTTTTCCATTCAAATTCGCTTCCGGCTTCCTACCCCCTGACCGGTGCAGTCTATCGATACTTATGTGATCGCATAGGAATCATTCAAACGCGTACTAAACATTTCCTTACGCTCAAGTTCTGTGTACTTTTTATTTTAGGCATTGGAAATACTTTCTCTAAGCCCGAGTCAAGATTAAATAATTCTTAAACATTCCTTTCCAAGCCTGACAAACCTAGCAGCCTGTTGAATCCTCATGTATAAGTAAATGAATAAATATCGCAACCCCCTACGTTGCACTACTTACCGTTGATTCAATAAACAAGCAACTAAACTAAACGCTACGCAGCGCGATTAGTCAGCACCGTTGGAAGAAATCTGTCGATTCCATAGCTGGAGAGGATTTAAAAAATGCAAAGCAAGTCGATGGACTCGCGTAAATCGGGAAGCAGGTGGCCCCAACAGATCCCAGGTAGACAATGACCGGCGTATGTCAGCGTTTTGCCCTATCGTTTAATCGACGAACGAAGGGACGCTCGATCGTTCCTCGTTATCAGAATCCTCTCAACCTCTCTTTCTCCTCTTGCTCGCTCCAACACTCTTCCGTCGGCGTCGAGCGTGTTCGCGTTTCCCCCGAAATGAATCATCGGCCTCTAGCTTCGAAGCTGGAGCCGCTCTTCTCTTCTTTCACGTAGATTAATTCGCTGCCGGCTGGAAAGTGCGGCCTTAGCAAGTTTCGCAGTCATAATGTGGCCGTAATTCAAGGATCGATTCTCCACGGTGCCCGTATAATCTATCCGCTCCTTCTACTCAACCCCTCGCCATTCCCTACGTTTTAGAGGCCCCTCTTGTGCAACCCCCTCGCGCCCGATGGGTTATCGAGGCCAGCGTTATAACACTCCCTGTACATTATCCTGCAAAACTGGATCACGTTGAGCTAAGGTTCGATCCCGCCCTGTTTACCCTGGAAAAATCACGGGTTTCGTCGTTTAACGCTATCAAGGAGTTAACGAGTTCTCGAAATACCATAGCAATCTTAGGTCTGAGAGTACAAGGTCTTCGAATGAATTATGACGGTAAAAGTAACGATAAAGGTAATGCCATTCTCAAGAGAAATGAAGTTAAACTTCATAGCTCTGGTGCACTAAAAAAAAAAAAAAAAAAAAAAACAAAAAAAAACACCAGGATCAGATTATGCTATCCTTTGATGGGTAAGGAACACTTTTGTTTATCGCGAAAGGTAAATGGAGTTTTCCCGAGCGGTCTGTTTTTAGACGATCTTTGCATCGTTGATTATCAAGACGCATTTCGGAGTGCACTGGATTTTTCGTTAGCCTACATCCGAATCATATCCCCGCGACGATATTAGTAATGAACACGGCACAGTTGCCGCAGGAGCGTGTACAGTTTATCATTCAACAGTAGACACAATAATACAATGGGAATCCTCGCGATGATTATTTGTGCATAGCGTGGCTGAAGGCAGAGAACCGAGAGAGACGGTTGCGCGCCCTCAGGACAAGAAGAATAATGAGTTGCCAGCGCGTTGACGTTCACCGTCGCGAGACGAAGCGACGCGTACGCAATTACACGGATATTAGCGTCTTACCCGGTCTCGTATTCGTCTTCGCGTCGATTTTTCACGGTCTCAGCCCCTGACGAGGTCCCAACGAGCAGAAGCATTCCATTCGCGAGAGGGATAAAATTCAAGTTTCACGGAGATGTTCTCGATGGGGCACACAACTAGGGAACGAGACTCTTAAGATCCAAGGATGGCAACCCTAATCGTAAGCTAAGGGTCGTATAAACTGAGTAGCCTATTATTTCTGATGGAACATGGAGAGCAACCAAACAAAGTCTGAATCAAATTGGAGCAGAATGGTGAGAGTTATACATTTTCAATCTCTGTGTTGATAAGAATAGTAAACGTTTCGGGGACTTCTATCAAGTTTACTTCCCAAAAGAGCTTCAAAAGTGCGATTTTCCAGAGTGCACGATCCCTCCTCGTCGCGAGTGCTGCAACGGTAACCAAAAATCTCGGAATTTCGAGTGACGGATTGGATAGAGCGCGGGGAAAGAGCGACGCGCGACAAGAAAAACAGAGTAGCGACGCTGGAGGCGGTAACTTAGGCGTCTCCGTTGGAGGGTAGACGAGAAGAGGATCAGAGGGCAAGTAAGCGTCACAGGCGTCATTCATTTAAAGGATTAAAATCCACGGGAGCCGGCGGCAACGTACGAGCGTTCACTTACTTAACGGAGAACGGCCCTTATTCCCTTTTCCTCTTTTCCTGTCGGTTCCACGGTCTCCGCGGCTCCGTCTTCGTCGCTCCGGCAGAATTCGCCCGCCACCTTTCCACCTTTTCGTTCGCCTCTGTGTTCTCCGGAGAGGGCCGCGACCAGCAATCAGCGTAATGCACCCGCAGACACACTCCGCCGACCCCCCTATGTCTTCGTTCTCTCTCTGTCCACACAATCGCGCGCCTACCCAGCATCGACGTTCACCGACAGACAGAGACACGTGAACGCGAATGCTCGCAGATTTCTCCCCGTGTGCACGTACGGATCGGTCGACGGAGGAGCAAACGGCCAGGTTACACACCCCTTGGGCCAAAAGGCTCTGATAACGCCATCTCGAGCGATGCAGACGCAACGGCAATCTCTTCGACAGGATACAATCAGACCTCCCTAAGTCCAAGTCGAAGGGAAATGAAAAATTCCTACGTTTGGTAACAATTTTTCGTAGTTTCGGAAGAAAAATGGGAGTGTTTCGTTGATAATGATACGCGCGGAAACAAGAATTCCTTGGCTGTAATTAGACCGCAGATTACGTATAAGAAGTTGAAAAGTATAGAGTTGCTGGGTTGTAAAATCCACAGTGTACGTGTAACGATGACGATTACTATGACGGAGTACATGCGTCTCATGAAAGTCAGTGCCCACAGAAATATTTACTTAGGCCTAGACTAGTTCCGGGTTCTGTTTACTTTCCTGTACTGTCAACTCTAGTCGAATTTAGACATCGAATCGAAATTACTATCCGGCTCCGTCTTCGCAGCGTTCAAGAAAGTTCGAGTCGCAGAGGTCCGGCCATGGATCGCGGGAGGGTGGATCGATGCCCGCGAAACCGTGTTCTTGAGCAACTTACCCCTCGGCTCCTCGATCCTCCGCAGACTTTATCCCTTGTTCTCGGACTTTCGCCGCTCCTTGCAACGGGGCCGAGGAGCTCCTTTTGCCGCTGTGAAAAAGTTGTTAACTTCGAGATTCATTGCCGACTCTTTCGTGGTATGAGTGGGTCCGTTCGACGAGTAGAGGGTGGGTTTGCTCGCGACTCGGTGGGGTTGCGACGGGTTGAACGAGCGTAAAAGGCGCAGCAGAGGGTTCCCCTCGTCGGAATCTCGTCGGAGGTAAAAAGAGGCTAAGAAGAAGCCGGATAAGAGGGTGCAGGCAGACGGAGAACGAGGGGAAACGGGGTGGCTAGAGGTTGGAGGAACGGAGGAAGCTTTCTGGTAATCCGGCGAAGGCGATTCCCGTACACCTATTTCGCTAAAGTGATTTCGTGCCTTCGAAGGATTCGACGTTTTCTCGCGGAATCGCACCGCGTCCCGTGCAACTTGCCAGTTGCTCTTTCCATCCACCCTACCGTTTGACTCCCATCGTCGGGGAAAAGTGCATCTCGTAAAGCTCCCGGGCGCATGTCCCGTTCGTTTCTAATTCCGGCGTTACGTACCGCCGCGTTACTTCTCGAACGAGAAATATCCTTTTTTAAACCGTCGTAAGCCGCGCCAACGCGATCCGCCTTCCGGTGACGTTTAATCGGTCGGGTCGCAGCTCGACGCCTCCGTGACCCGACACCGATTTTCGCGAATCGTACCTCCTCTTTTGCTTCCTCCGAAATAACCTCCGAAATTCCCTGCGCCGTATTCGAATACGTAAGAACGAAGCAAGTTTTTTGGTAATGGGAGGCGAGAACGACGTTGGTTGTATAAGACAGAAAATTGATAAGTTTGAACATTGTTTTTAGCTATGGGCCACGCTATAAGACAGCTCGGATTTACTTCTCAGAAAACTATTGCTCGCCTCGCTTCCAAACCTCGTGTACTTTCAATCCGGAAGAATTTTCTCGCGTACGAAGAATTTTTTTTCTGACTTCCATTCTGTCTACTTAAAAAAAAAAAAAAAATTCTTTCCCTCCGTTACCTGCTGTGTGGCACCTTTCCTTCGTCGCGCAAAGTACAAGTTACGAGCCCCTTTACCGGGCTAAGGCGTCTCGATAGTTGGCTCTCGTGGATCAGAAGGAGGCGCGAACAATGGCGACGGTTGCGTGGAACGCAAACGAGAACGAAGAGGGCTCGCAGCGTGGAAAGGCGCCCGATGGAACGGTCGGCGTCGTAAACAAGAGTACCACGGATCTCTGGAGAAAATTATCCCGGGTCGTTATTTACATCTTTCATAAATATTCACTCCAGAGGAGGGAAACGGAGAAAGGAGTATCGCTGGCGGGCCTGGGACCAAAGTGGGAGGAACGAGGGACAACAAGGAAGAAAGGGTGAACCGAAGGGAGAGGCGGTGGTTCAACAGGAAGTAACGAGAGACCGCGAATGGCATAAATCTTACGGCTTTTGGCGGCGATCTCGTTTCAGGATCACGGCGAAAGGGGTTGCTTCGCTACTCCGTAGACCGTAATACGATATTTTTACCACCCGAACCGTGTTCGTAACTCACGGTACAGCGGAGACATTTTTATAATAGTTCGGTCGTCGCCGTCGAAGAGCCTCAAGTGAGTTGTTACTTTAGGATAATCCCTGGCTGCCTTTTAAACTCACAACTTTGTGTTAAAATTCTCAATTTTACAGGCT